CACATTAAGTAAGTGATAGACAATGTTTTGTCCATTTCAGCACATTAAGTAAGTGATAGACAATGTTTTGTCCATTTCAGCACATTAAGTAAGTGACAGACAATGTTTTGTCCATTTCAGCACATTAAGTAAGTGATAGACAATGTTTTGTCCATTTCAGCACATTAAGTAAGTGACAGACAATGTTTTGTCCATTTCAGCACATTAAGTAAGTGACAGATGATGTTTTGTCCATTTCAGCACATTAAGTAAGTGACAGACAATGTTTTGTCCATTTCAACACATTAAGTAAGTGACAAACATAATTGTTCCCACTCAACATTTTGCCTGTATTTTATTGTATTTTTCTGTTATTATTTACTTTGGGACTAAATAAACATAATTTCTTGTTGGCTGCAGAACTCAATCAAAAAAATGAAAAAATGTTTTATTTAGTGAAAGGTTACAGAAGTAGACTTTGGTGCCAAATGGTTAATTAAAATCTATAAATGATTAATTAAAATCTATAAATGGTTAATTAAAATCTATAAATTACAGAGTTCCTCAATTTGCAACTTACATATGGCATGCTCGGGGCTATTTGGCAGCATAAGGCTAAGGTCAAGGTCATTAACGTTAAAGCTTTCACCAAGACATTGCCGAAGGTCGACTGCATCTTCCACAATGTTGTCATTATTTGTGATACTGCCTGCATTAATCTTTGCATGAGGAGAATCACTTTGCTCTGCCACTGTCTGTAAATAATAATATTTATAATAATAAAATTTGGTAATCGTCCTAAGTAACAAATCAAACCAGCTTCACATTTCGTGTAATGGTCACCATCTTCTGTAGCATATGTAAAAATAAGTATAAGCAGAACAAAAGATCTCTAGTGTATGCAAGTTGTGATAGACAACGATTTCACATGAATTTAAGAGATCACACAAATTACAAATAATCACAAAATAGCTTGACAAATCTATCTACTCTAAAAATTAAATCATTGAGTTTGTGAAAGAATTGATTTGTATTCATCCCAAACCACTTTTGGTAATGTCCTTTAGTATTAAAAAATCGTGTAATACATGCATTTTGTGTTTTTAAAAGAGGCAATTCTGTTTATGCAATTTAATATTTGCAAGCATCCATGGAATGAGACGAATATCAAATGTTTGCAAATTTTGAGAGTTCACTTCTCACAAAAACTTCAATGCATATCAATTCAATTCAAGAGCACGAAAGTTCTAGAGATACTGGCAACCTGAATGAAAGGCACAATACCATTAAAGTAAGATTGCCCAATGAATTCAAAATTGAAGCTTTTAAAAATCAAATAGAAGATTACAACTTAATACCTGATCCAATGCGGCACAGAAATCCATGTTATAACCACCATCATCGTCAAAATCCATCATTGTATTGTTTAAAGACTCTTGAAGCAAACTGTTTTTTAAACTGTTCACCTTCTTTTCTGGACTACTATTACAGAGATCATCCTCTGTAGAGGTACTGTTTTTATCATCATTGTTATTGCCATGATTACCATTATTCTCATCTTCCATAGTAAAATCAGCATTTTTGTGTTCGCCAGGAACCAAAAGAACATTATCATCATCAAAGTTATTGACCCCTTCCTTCATAGGATCATCATCATCCTCATAATTACCATTATGATGCTCTTCATTATCATTATTAGCATCATCATTCTCATCTCCATCATCATTTACATTATCATCTTCATCATCTTCATCTTCTATCATAACATACATATGCTTCTCCCTGTCTAATGGTGAGACGGGCTTTATAGTTTTATGTTCACTTCTGATGAATTTATGCATTCGTGGGTTTGTCAGACAGTCTTCAAGTAATATTACTGGACTCATATGAGCTGGAATAGCTCCAGTTGGCGTAAGTTGACTGGCATCAGGTCTGGGGGATGAACGGGGTGATTGGCCCACTTTTAAAAGGTGTGGCGGCAATGTACAACTTGTTGATGCAATTCCAAAGGTTGGTGAATCAGAAGGCATGTCTAATACTTTATCATCATCTGATTCACAACAAATTATTAATTCATCGTCTTCTTTTGTCATGTTACCAGGAGACAGCAAAGTATCGGAAGAGTCACGCTTTTCAAATTGACTTTCATCAAAATTTAATTTCTTTTCACAATCAACATGCAATGGTGTTGATTTCACGAATGATTGTGTAGCAGAAGACTTTTCATCCCCCTTATTGACATTAATACATACTTCAGGAGTGTAGATTAATGCATTCCTTTCTGCCTCACCTAATGATGTTGCTGGTGTTTCTGTTTCTGTAGAGTCGTCATCATCTCCTCCGAAAAGGTCAGGTGTTATTGCTGAAACACTACTGCACTCAAAGCTTTTCTTCTCGCGAACTGGTGAACAAAAGACTGATTGGACATCTTTTGCAACTTTAGTGCGAGGTGACTTGCATGCTTTATCTGGAGACAATTTCCTTTTTTTCACTTCTGAACTCATTTTGACACTATTGTCAGAATTATTATCAGTGTCAAGTTCTATTTCAGTAAGGGTTACATCAGGATTATTTCTACGAGAGCCGCTATTGAAAGCTGGCTCATCTGAAGAACTTTCGGCAGCTGTGCTGATTTGGTTATCATTCTGTGGTGAGTGACTTTTCAACTTTGACTCTTGGCAGCTAGAGGTCTGGTTTCTAGCTCGCTGTGTGGACATGTACTTGTACACATCCTCTAATTCTCTGTCATAGGTCTCTGTTTCATTGTCATCATTTGACGACTGAGAATCATTATCAGAACTGTTTTCATTCCCCCATAGGGAGTTGAGTAACTCATCCACATCTTTTTCCACAAAGTCTGAGTCTGTTTTCTGATCTGCAGAATCAGAGTCCTCGGTGTCATTGTGTTGAGGGCTGGCAACCTTCTGTATCCCATGTATGAGTTCCTTGCATGCACTCTGTAGCTGTGTCACTTTAAATCTACATAGGTTGTAATACAAATTAGTTTAGACAAGAACATCCCCTGGTAGATGAACGATGCATTGCATATGTACCATGCTCTGCTATTAAAGGCATGATAATGACAACAAATCCACAGCTAAATTTAACATTTGTGAACCAAAATATTAGTACAGAATAAATTATGTGGCATTACCTGTCGGCTATTTCAGACACATCATTCAAAAAGTTGACTGGGATGTCAAGCTCAGCAGTATACAGAAATTTGAGGAAAGCGAACACTGCATCAAAAGAAAACTGCGTCCATTTAGTCCAATTTAATTCCAATTTACCATCTTCATTCCTTGTCTCCGTAGCATTAAGAACCTAGCAATTGGAAATATGCAAAAAAATAACTTGCAGTGTAATTGCCGACCTGACAGTCTACTATGTGTATCCAGTTGTAATTACTTGATGCTTAGGTCAGTTGATTTCATTATTAAAATCAACAAGCCATGCATGGCACAGTCCCTGTTAGTTATCAAATAAAAAATATATAGTTTTCTTTATAGTAATATAGTTGGAACATAAACATGTCAGAAGTATGGATCCAGAAGATGATGCTTGATTATGATGATTTTTTAACATTAAAATGATTGACATTTGTATCTGATCGTCAAACAACTGCTTGTCCATATTGAGAAATATTACTCTGGAACAGCATTAATTAAAACAAAATTGCCACCAGTCGGCCATTTTGAATACCACAATGAATATATAATATTTGATCATAATCAGTCAAAGCATATCAGAGATATGGCTCTAAAAGCCCATTCATTTAAACAAAATGGCCACCAGTCAGCCTTTTTAAATACAATCTAAAAAATGACATGCATCAGGAACCCATAATTTCTAATGTACCAAGTTTGAACAAAATCCATCCATAAACGTCAAGATCTAGTTCTGGAATGGCAGAAATTTTGATGATTTTGTAGCCTAAAAACGGCTACCATTTGGTCATTTTTAATCAAACTAATATATATATATCTATGCCATGATGCAAAATGAATATATAAAATCTGATCTGAAAATTAAAAAATGACGTGCATCAAGGTCCCATAATGTCCAACACATGTACCAATCCCAATCCATCCATAAATGCTTGATTTTGATGATTCTTTAGCACAAAAAAGGCCACAATTGAATCAGAGTGTGAACAAAATTGACGTGCATATGTATGATTTTACTGTCCTTACCTTTGATAGCTTGGCACTTCTAGAGGTCAATACCGGATTCTACCGTACATTCACCCATCCGAAAAATCGCCCTGGGCGATTTCACTGCTGGTGGGCCCTTATTTGGGTTCAAAATATCAAAAAATAATCACCAGATATTTTTGGGGGACTTTTATATGTTTATTGAAAAATCCATCTACTCTGACTTCAACACCGGCAGTTGGACCACCCAAAATGAAAGAAACTATTGCAGAAGCTAATCTAAATTTTTTTTTCCTGCTGGATTAAACAGAAGACCTAAAATTTCATCACAATGTCACCCAAGCGCATCTTTCTCAAAATCAAAGAAAGCTTAGAAAGAACTCCCATGTGCTGAGAGTATTGGAGACACATTAAATATAATTCGAAATTACTTAGCTGAAAACTAATTATGCAAATCAGAAAATTAATATGACCAGATTTGAGTGTAAAACTAATGAGGTCTGCGCAATGTAACAGAAAATCTATGTCTCCAAGTTTAATTGAAATGTGATTAGAACCAAC